ATAATACTCATTCGTTCACTTTATATGGAATTCCATGTTTTTCAATCTCCTTAACAAGTTTTTAATTAAAAATTTTTTATTTTGAACATAATTTAATTTAATAGTTTTCTCCAATATCCACATCTTCTTTATCTATTCAATTAGATTAAATCGAAACCTTATTAAAACATTAATTTTAATTTCATTTTATATTTAATATGACTCTCTAAAAAATTTGCAAAGTATTCACTATTCAAATTTGAAGTATATTTTTAATCATGAGTAAAATTCAATATCTCCTTATAAATTTCGTTTGAATTATAGTCTGCAAATGAGCTTCCAATAAAACTAAAAGTATTAACCTCTTTTTATTCAATTATCGCTTGGGCTTCTTTTTTTTTAACTTTTTATTGGCAGATGAAAAGGCAAATTATCTTTAAATAGAATTACTTTGATTTTATAAGCAAATATTTGTATCACATTTTTTCTGTATTGCACATCTTTTTTAATTATTTTAGGGCAGATTAGGTAATTTGTTTTACTGTTATTCCATAAAAGGCCAACAAATACATGAAGCATGCTTCTTAATATTTCAGCTTCACCAAGTCAGACAAAATTTATGAAGAATATATTGGTAAAAATTTATCTGGAATCCTTTTTGGCATCTATTTATTTTTATATTTCTTAATTCTTTTTTGATGATAGATGAAGCCCTTGAATTTTATATTAAAACTCTACCTATTATTTTTAGCTGTTTTTTAACAATTAAGTAATCTCTTTCAAAACAATTTAGCTATAAATATTCTAAAGGGGAATCAATTTGCTGAGTATATTATTGTTTACTTACTAGTTTTGTAATATCATTTTAATTTTCTTAGCATATGTTGAACTTGTAAGTTGATCAACCCCTTGAAATAATTGAGTATACCATTTGTGCTTTTCTACATAAATTCAAACCTTACACTCTAAATTGATTTCTTTTAAACTTTAGACATATTTCCAATCAATAACCATTTTAATGTATTCAGATTCTTTTTATGCTTGTAACAATTTGAGATATTATTGTGTTATTATTAATACATGTTTCTTGGAATAAAAATGTTATTATATTTTGCCAAGAGAATCACTTACAAACAATTTCCTACTAGCAAGTAACACATTGTAGCCTCATATCATCTATTTTGATAATTTTGTTAATTATATCCCCCTCTTGCATTCTTAATTATTATTCATATTAACTACTATTTATGTTTTGAAAAATGAAACACCTCAAGAGAAAAATACAAAACTAAATCATTAGAATTATTAGAAAGTTTATAATTTTATTTAATAATCCTATGATTATATGTTTTTTTCTGAAATTCTGAATTTAGAATTGAAAATGAATAAGAATATTGTATTTTAATTTTCGCTTTCAATCATTTTGATAAAATGTGTCAATCTAAACTATTTTTTTTATGGATCATAGTCAATTAAAAGGCTTTTTTTATAGTTTATTCATCTGAATAATCATGTGCATAAACTAAGTTATAAATAATATATAAATTAAGCTTCGATTTGGAAGGTATTCATTTAATTTATAATTTCTTGCGATTATGAACAAATTAGGTCATATGTTATTCAACGCAATTGAGAATAAGCTTTGGCTCAATCATGTACTTTCAATAAGATTAAAATTATTTCCAAAAACATCTCTCATAAGTAGTTGTTTCGAAATTTCCAAAGTTCAATTAGGAGACGAAGGACTGATATTTTCAAATGCATTAATTTAATCATGTTGGTCCGCTATAGTTAAATAACTCTACTCAGTCCTTCGTCTCCTAATTGAACTT